CTTCTTCCCTTCCAGAAGACCCAAGTGACTTTTTATTTGATGAGCTGTGCTCCATTAAAATATGTCAAAGAGGTGGAAAGTCTCTTTCAGAAGGTCTTTAATGGGAAATTTAAGTTACTGAAAGTCCCTTGCCTAGAGCCCTCAGAGACCTTTGACAATACAACACAGGAAGGCTCCCTTCCTCCTTTGAAATGAAGGACCTATGCAGCATTATTTGTTCACTAGTGTTATGAATTCCAATGAAAATCCCCCCAAGCAATCATAAGAAATCATTTTATGATTCCATTTTCCAAAAGTTTTGGAATGATCTCCTGCCCCAATTCCTAGCATGCTCCGCCTGGAACAATTCTATAACTTTGATTATCTTGACACATTATTGCACTCCACTTACATGATAAGTACCCACATTGGCAAATTGATGTTAGATATTGGCCAGAAAATGAGATATTCCACCTCCACAACATGTAGTCATGTGGGACTTCTTCCTAAGCAGCCCATCGAAAATGAGATGTGCACACCTAAGGCTCTCACCTGCACTTTTGCTTTGGATAGCTACAGCAAAATAAGAATACTTCCAACACTGTTGTGCACTGAGCAGGGTTTAAGAGAAAATAACATTCACTCTTCAAGGAGCATTCCTCTGTTACCTTGGTCTCTGGTGTGATAGCTGCCTCAAGGCATTCCGGCTTGGTACAATCGACAAAAACAGTTTTCAGACCCATGTCTGATGCTATCTTTCGGAAATACCTATTTGTACCTAGGATACAAAGATAATCAGTTTTAATGATCTGCATCACACATTCATTTCATAAATTTTAGAAAATCCAGTGAATGAGAGGAGAAATATATCTCCTGACTTTCTCCCAGTGAGCTTAAGGCATTGTAAATGACTTTTTTTCTTCCCCACTTCAACCTTATAAGAATCCTGTGAGGCCTGCCTGGCTGAGAGAAAATGGTGAAGGTAAGCAGAGAAATTCATGGCTGAGTAGAAATTCATGGCTGAACTCACTGCTTCATTCTTTTAGAACCCACGGTACACACATAATACCAAATAATGCTTGAATTCTTTCTGTAAACTGACAATAGTACTGGTAGAAAGCCTAGCTGGTTTCCGTGGATCTTATTTCCAACTAACCAGGACAGCAGAGTAACTACCGCTGCTAAATATGCATTTGTTAAAATATTTGTATCTTGCCTTTTGACTTAAAAATATGGAGGCTATCAGCTTTGCCCAACATGAAAAAGGGCTTCAGGCTGGAGCACCTGCTTTGTCTATGAACACTCTGAGATTCAATATTTGGACTTATTCCCAGCTAATTATTTTTTCTTTTCAGATTGCAACTGGTGTGCTGAAAGTCCTTTCATCATCTTCTCAGTATCACCTTGGTTTCAGCAACCATTCCCTGCATGAACATTTGTTTCTGAGGCTGCAATCTTATGGATGCTCAACTGAGAATATGTTACACTGAAGTTTATGGTTTACATCTGAGTAGACCTTTACAGGATTGCACTGTTAAACTATTTAATGTGAGAATTTAGGAGATAAATTCCCATTTCTGTCACTGAATTTAATACTGTGAAGATTTTCCAAGAGCATGGAAGTATCATGATAGAAGTAACGATACCCCTTGCTGTTAAAAGCAAGGATCTCTCCTTCCACCCTTCTGCAGTGGATGTTGTCCCGTCTCTTGAGCACTGCCTGGACACTGTGCTGGGATGGATGAAGAACAACAGACTGAGGCTGAACCCAGACAAAGTGGAAATCCTGTGGGTGGGGGCCCCTAGTGTCCTCGATCTGGGTGCCTCCCTTTCTTTGGGGGCGGGGTTTCTCTTGCCATGAAGGATGAGGTGCACAGCTTGGGCCTACCTCTGGACCCAGAGCTATCAATGACATCTCAGAGAGTGTCTGTGGTCCACATCGGCTATTTCAGACTAAGGTGGATCACTGCATGACACCAGGTCCCTCACCACCCTGGTCCAGACAGTAGTATTCTCAGGATTAGACTGCAATGCTCTCCACATGGGGCTGCCCTTAGTGCTGTCATGGAGACTTCAGCAGGTTCAGAACTTGGTCGCCAGACTACTAAGTGGGGTGAGAAGACACCAAGATATCTTCCCCACCCCCTGGCCACCCTGCACTGGTTACCTGTTCGTTTCTGTACCAACTTCAAGGTAATGGTGTTAACATACAAAGCCCTAAATGGTTTGGGATCTCATCTGGCAGAACGCCTCCTTCTGACCAGATCTGCCCCTTCTGTAAGATCTTCACAGGCTGGACAGCTGAGAGTTTTGAACCTAAGAGAGGCCCAGAAAACAGTAACCAGAAACCAGGCCTTCTCGGCAGTAGCCCTGCAATTGTGGAATGCTTTCCTGCCTGATATTTGCCTAGCGCCTTCATTGGGAACCTTTAAGCGATTATTAAAAACATTTCTATTTAGACAGCCCTTTCCGGACTCTACAGCATCTGATATAACAGTGCTAAAATAACCAGACTTCACTAATGTTCAACTTCCACTATGCTTTTTTTATTTTATTTTAATGTTCTATTGCTATTATTTTCATGTGTCGATATTGTATTGATTATTTTATTTTATTGTCCACTCTTGTATTGTTTGTCTTTATACTTTATTTTATGGTATTGTATAAACCGCCCAGAGTGGCCTGGGTTGCTAGATGGGGAGTACAGAAATAAAATAAAATAAATAGTGTTAACCTGACAACTTCTGAATGAGTAATATTTATTTGTTATTTCATAAACACTAGTTTTGGAAAGCATTTGGAGCTATATTCATTTTTTTTAAAAAAAAAAGTAATGTTAGGGGAAACACATTAAGGTGTTATATTGGTCATTACTCATGAGTAATGTACAGCGTATTAATTCTAAAAATACCAATTCTAAAAATTTCTCATGCTACCAAAGTAGAAATCTGGTAACTCATTTCATCCTTTCAATAACAACAAGAACAACCGTGATAAAGCAATTCCTGTGTCTTCTACAGTCTGGAAAATTATGCATGGAAAACACCATGCTAAGCTAAGTTTCAGAAGGAATCCCCAATCCCTCGACAGCCGTGCTGGGACATGTTATTTGGCTACCCAGCTGGGAGCCAGGGTAAACCGATATCTGTTTTGCTTATCCCCGAAAGCCATTCTTGGCTGCTGGCCTGGAAGGGCAGAAAACAGGGCAGCACAGAGATCTTAAAAGAAAATAAGAGTGAAATGATACAGAATAGGGCTATAACCTTGGTTTATTATATATGAGGTACAGTATTAGTTTTTAGAGAGAAAGGGCAAAGTTCAGCAAAGTCAAACTTTATTATGAAGGCAATATGTTTTAATCAGTGTTTAGCTCTCTCGAATTATTGTTCTAGTTGTCTGAAAATTAAGCACAGTGGCTGAAATCCAGTAGTGAGCTGCAAGTAAGGTAGCCCCCCTGAAACAGTGGGGATTTGATGAGTCAACTCCTCTGTAAATTCCATTGATTCAAAGGGCCTACTCTAATAGTCATTAACTACTGACATCAACTAGTGTGTTGGATCAAAGATCTGCCCACGGTGGACAGAAAGACTACACTCACTGAAGAGACCTCCACCTAAATATGGGGTTCCCTCTCCCACTGCACTGTAGCTCATCCCACACAGCAGGGCTCTCTGTGCTCTGAGCTATTTTTACATTTGAGAGGCTGCCCTAGGAAGAAAAAGAGGGAAGGAAAGAGTGCTTAAACCAGCCCAGTTGTTTGCAGATAAATCTGGACCCAGCCCAGCAGTTACTCGATTTCCAAAGGGACAAATTCATCTTAATTGCAAATAAAGGATGTCATGCAAAAATTTATTTATTTATTTATTTATTTATTGAAATTATATGCCGCCCACTCTACCCAGAGGTCTCTGGGCGGCTTACAATAATTGCTAAGCGTTCTGCTACAATGGGTCCAATTCCTGGCACACCTAGAGAGCATTTGGAACAGAAACCTCTAGAAGGAAAAGGGTGAAGCATGGATGAATAAGTAGCCCAGTGGCTCCAAACTCAAGGATGAATTCAATACAAAAAGTGAGGAGATGTGGTGAATTAACTGCTAATGGAAGGGTTTGTTTTCTTTTGCTTTGTCTGGTGGTACAATAGCATCAAAGGCATTGCATTTCTTCTTTAATACAAACCACTTATTGTTGTTACTTCCATCTGACTTAGGGCGCCCCTATGAATGAGCAATCTCCAAAATATCCTGTCCTTAACAGCCCTGCTCATTTCTTGTAAAGCTTGTGGCTTCCTTAAGGGAGGGAGTAAATCTATCTCATATTTGGTCTTCCTCTTTTCCTCCTGCGTCCAACTTTTCCCAACATAATTGTCTTTTCTAAGGAATCTCACTTTTTCCTGACTGCCCAAAGTAGGACAGTCCCCTTTTTTGTTTCCATAGATAGTTCAGGTTTGATTTGATCTAGGACTCCCTTCTTTTTATTTCCAAGGGGGTCCAGGGTACTTATAGGCAATCCTCCAGCACCATTTTTCAAATATAACCAATTTTTTAAATTTTAGTTTTGCTTCTCATCTGTCCTTTACAATTTCTTCCACTGCTTTTTATTCCCTTTTTAGCGCAGAAATTGTCTTTTTGCATTCTTTTCTAATAACATTTCTGATTTCAAGGATGCTGAATGAAAAAATTTATGTCTTATCCTTATTCTCTAAATCAGAATGACAAACCATCTTCAATCTGAGCTCGAAGGGCAAATACAAAACATAGTTCACCAGTTCAAATGTAACAGCAAACAAAGAGTTTAAGTAAAACTCTTTGCGTAATTGTGTGCAAGTTACAGTGCTTGTTCATGTGTAAAGAGGGACCAATGAATACTTGTTGCCAAACAAACTGTAAGATCAATTAGAGTCAGCTTTCGAAATAACTAATTATATCTATCTTACTAAGGGTTTATAATTATAGCTTTATAAGTTATCCAAACAATTTGGAAAAGAAAATATAGAGACAGTGAATTTAGTGAGACTCAGTGCTGATTCATAGATAACCATCACCACAACAGTGGGTCATAGCTTGAAGTGTCTACTGCCCAAGATTAAAAAACATTGCTTTTGAGGAAATACGAACATGCCACCTAGGTTGACCTGTTGTGTCACTCTCAATAATAAACACAAATATGCAAACTCAGGTTAAATATATACTTACATGCCTTCTGGACTGCAACCCACAAGATTACATCCAGGACACTTAAGATCAACTATACACAAGAATAGCACTCACCTCCATATACATCATCTATGCAAATAATAGTATCTCCTGCCTTCAGCAGATGTGCAATGTTCAGAGTCGCTGCTAACCCAGATGCATATGCTAAACCTAAAAAGGGAAAAGAGAGAGAGAAATACAAATTAGATTAAATGAATAATATACTTTTCCAGTATATTTTGGCAAGCATGCATGGGGCAGAACCTGGCTCGGTTGAACGTGTACATTTTCACAAGATAACTGAATGATGTGATTAGTATTACTTTCAAAGACTTTGAGCCAAAAGTCAACACAATGTTTTTATCTAAAAGCAAAATTTTTACTCCTGTCCTACAAAACTATACTGTCGAGTTGCACTCAGTTATGATATTATTCTGCCAAAATGAAAGGGAAAAGTGGGGTGGAAGAAAATTGGGGGGGGGGATGGAACATTTTTATAAAATTTACTAATCTGCAGTGCGAGCTTTCATGGATCAGGAGGAAGTAGATGTTGAGCTACAAAAGTTCACACTGTCCATTTTTAAAGTGCCACAATATTTTGATCTTGCTTTTTCTCCCTACATTAATTTTGCCACCATGCTGAGACAAACTAATAAGGCGCTTGCTATTGTAATGTTAGATCAAGTGCCTCAGACTTATGGCACCTTGAATGAGTGATCTCTAAAATGTCCTGTCCACAGCTACCCTGCCCAGCAATTAAAAACTCAAGCCTGTGACTTTGTTTAGAGAGCCAGTGCATCTCACTATTGGATTGATGACTGAACCAGGATATACAAAATCTCTAACTATTTCAATTTCTTCATTGTCAATGTTAAAATTGTACAATTACGTTATGTAGTCATGATTTTTGTCTTCTTAACATTCAAATGCAGTCCTGCTTTGGCACTTTCTTCTTTCACTTTCACTAAAAATTGGTTCAAGTCATTGCTGCTTTCCGCCAGCAATATGGTATCATCTGTGTATATCTTAAATTATCGATGTTTCTTCCACTAGTCTTCACTGGAATCAAGTCCGGCTTTCTCTATGATGTGTTCTGCATGTAGATTGAACAGATAAAGGGATAAAATGCACCTTTGTCCAATACCTTTGCTTATAGGAAACCATTCTGCCTCTTCATATTCTGTCCAAATGGTAGCTTCTTGTCCACAGTGTTAGTTACAAGAACAAGGCTACCTCTTTGGAAATGCTTATACCATATGCAGGGTTTTAAAATCTACATACGCTGCACTTGCAAATTTGAGCTCTCAAATGTACCAATGCCAGAAACAAACATTCTAGTGAAGTTTTTAAAAAACTTATTAAACAAAACGATGTAATTATGTCACTGCAAAGCATAACGCCAAGATCAGATTTATTATAAACCTACACAGTTGTTTTCTAATAAACTTCCTACAGACTGAAGATGATATATACATCATGGACCAAAGACAAAACTTTGATAACTTACAGTACTTAGCGCCATCCAATGCTGCTACAGCTTTTTCCAAGCAATCACGAGTAGGATTTCCACAACGACTATATTCAAAGCCCTATAAAAGAGACAAAGTTCTATAACTTTATCAAAACTGGATGAAACTGAGTGTAACTACTCAGATTTACAGTGGTGCCTCAACTTATGAACATCCCTACTTATGAACATTTCAACTTACAAACAGCTCCAGTCGCAAAAAAATTGTATTTGGAGTTTTACCAGGGAAATACAAAATCTGCTACTGATCATGAAATTAGGAATCATTTACATCTATTTTTAAGACTTATTTCATTAATTTATATGCTGCCCTATAATTGCTATGCACTATGCTGGGTGGTTTTCAGCACAATAAAATATAACCCTGTAACAATAGAGTTATCAATGAAATCAAGAAACTATAATACTTAATACTGGAAGCCTGATAACAGATAAGGTGGAAGGCAGAGAAGTCTGTAACTCAAAAAGTCTGTAAGTCAAGGGTCCACTGTACTTAATAGTGGAAGCCTGTTAACAGATAAGGTGGAAGAGGAGATGTCAAATCAGATATAAAATCAGGCAGGGATGTCACGTTTTCACCTTTTAATTGCTTTTGTTAATGGAAAAATAAATAAAGCAAGTTGCTAAACCTCAACATTGCAGAAAATGTTGCAGAATATTCAACATGTTTTTATATACTTCATTTCCTTCTATTTGTTTTTGGCTTCAAGACAAAGGAACAGAAATTGTAATGCCAAATTAGATTTTGCAAACTAGCATTGCTGTTTAAACCAACAAAGTTTGAGTTAGGAGTTTACCAATTAACAGATGTCTTTTAAGGATTCAAAGTCAGGTTGTGCAACAAGTCAACACTAAGCATTTGTCATGAAATGCAGTACTGTCTGAATATACTATTGAGCCATAAATAAACACACACAATACCAACATGCATCATGGGTGACAACATGAGTTTTCTTCAGACACTGATTACCATGATAGTGGGAAAAAGGTAAAACTAAACCAAGACATAAGTGGCAAGGAAGGGGGAAAGGAAGGAGGAGCTCCAAGGTTCTGCTCAGGCCTGTAAGTAACGTATGCTGGACTAACAATATAAGTGAGATGCCAAAGACTGCTTCCCCCACCATGACCATAACCATTCTAATAGATACAAAAACTGCAAAAACTCTAATTCTCATGGAGCTAAAACGTGGAGGCAGGAGAAACTGAGGACAACAAATGCACAAGAAGTCTTTGAATCACGATCCAGAGGTTCAAGTTTCAGTCTCCGGAGAGCTCCTCATCACAACAGTTATGCAGCATCCTTGCTGGGCTGTTTTTGGTTTGCGTTTGTTTTGTTTCTTCTAAGGGAAAGCTCTGCAGAAGTGGCAGGAAAATGTGACAGGGTTCCAGATGACTTTTCATAGGTTTACTTTTCAGAACCTTTTAAGCTCGCCCCCTCCTTGCCATCAAATTCCATGAATGAAGCCTTGCGAGAGCACAGCCCTTCGGTTTGTACAGTACTGTCAGCCAGCAGGAGGCACGTGGAGGCAAACAGAGCTGTATGCAGCACTCCTGCTTTGCACCTCAGGCTGAGTTCTGATGTCAAGGAGGAAACGGAAGAAGAGCAGGGGGCTGGTAAGCACAGCTGAGGAGACGTAAGGTGCAGAGCTGAGACTTAGATCCCCAGTACGACTGTATGCCTTCTAGGAAGCCGATCCAGATACATGGATCTCATGGGCTAAGTGAGACGAAGAGGAAGGCGGAAATTAATTTGACAGGGTCAAAGGAAAAATGGAGGGAACAACGGAAGAGGCTTTAGACTGAATGATGACTCAGAGATTCACAGAGAGCGCACTCAGTTGATTTGCCCCAGCCACCTGCCTTCTCTGACAAGAAGAATTACTATTCTAAACACTTCAAAGGGCTCTTGGGACTCATGGCTGCTCTTCAGCCGTGCAGGGGTGTTGCTCTGTTGCCCTGTAACCATACACACTCCAGTCACTTCTTGCTTCACATCTGATGACTTGCGAGTCCCAAAAAATAGGCTGCAAACAGGACAAATGAAGGCTCAAAACCCAATCAGTGTAGTGGCCAGGGTAGGAAATGAAAGAATTTGGCTCTTTTTGGAAACAAGATTTTTCATACAATGTTCAGATCAAATAAGTCACAGAAAATTTCCAAACCCACCCCCTTCTGTTTTGTAAGTTAATTACTCCTGCTGGTCTAAAGTTTCACAGTTGAACTAGTAAAGTATTAAGTATATTGGTGAACATTAACGAAGAAGCAGCCGTGTCAGCATGCTGAAGCAAAACTAGTACAGAATTATGTGCAACCTTGAAGGCTAACAGACTTATTGTGGCATTAATCCACAATAGCAAAACATGTTCGGGGAGCCACAAGACTTTTGCCAGTGTTAACTTTTTCACGTATTAATGAACAGGAAGTGCCATGGCATTTAAGGGCTTTTTCAACTCAAACTATATCATGAGTCACAGAACACTTTGGAAAGCTGCCCACTTGCTTATGCAATTTCCATTTTGCATTGTATCATCACAAGGACAAGGTAGCCAGGCAGGTTTCTTGTGTCCTGCTCATTAGAGCCTGCTGAGTTAAAATGACTGAGCATTTCCTGACAGCCTCAGAGTTACTCAGAGCTATTATGATAATATGAGAAATTCAGTAATGGAGTTGCACGACATGTTGGAGAGATGCAATTTTGCTGTTGTTGTTGTATTTTTAAATTAAACTTCATAGAATCATAGAAAAGTTGGAAGGGGCCTACAAGGCAATGAAGTCCACCCTCCACCCCGCTCAATGCAGACTTTAAAAGGTTATTTTTTAAATCATACACCAATAACTTTACTGTAACTTAACTGTATGTCTCTCTCTCTGTGTACATGCATGCATGCACACACACACATTTAAGATACACACACACACACATATATACACACACATATATACATATACACACACACACATATACACACACACACACATATATATATGTGTGTGTGTATGTGTATAAAATTGAAATATATACAATTGAAAGAAGCAAATAATAGCCATAATGTTATTGTCTTCCTGAGTCAGAAAATGAGTAATTGAACTGTGGAATTATAATCTTTCTAAAATTGGCACAGGAGCTGGTTGGATAGCTCAGTGGTTTAGGAATCTGTCTGTGAAGCCAGAGGTTGAGTTCTCCACTGTACTTACTGTGGGCAGAGCCAGCCTGTGTGGCCTTTAACAAGCTGCACAGACCCAATGCATCCCCAGAAGAAGGGAATGGTAAACCACTTTTGAGTACCCTCTACTTAGAAAATGTTAAAAAGGGTCACCATAAGTAAGAATTTAATTGAAGGCACATGATTACTATTGAAATAGGAACCATACAAATATATAACAAATAATGGTACTGATGTACTAGGAAATGAGGATCAAACCGTTCAGTTCACAAAAAATGGAGCTTCGCAAACATCATTCTCTTCCTATCTTATTGGTTCCTCCTCATCCCAAGTACGGTACATTAAAAATCAATTCACATGTGAAAGCCTGGCAGTATAATTCCTACATGCTACATTACAGACATAACAGTTAATTTAAGATTACTTTCTTCTTTCCACTTGAGGAAGTGTGTGCCAAACCAATCCAAACTGAAATCATTAGATGTAAGCATTTCCTCCCCATAGCCATTTCTGTTTCAAAATTTGCCCACTTTTGTGAGGGTAAAAGAAGCTGGGAATCTTCACTGGTGCCAATGGAGGCTTTTGGGAGGCAGCATTCTGGAATTAACAATGGATCAGAGACTAGGTGGTGCAGAGATGACCCCGATCTAAGGCAGAACTGGGCACACTAACCTGATTGTACATATGAAAGCAATCTTCAACTTCCTATTTAACAGGATGTGCTACTAGAGGTCTTTAAAAAAAACATAGCAAGAAAGGCACAATGTCTGAATGTCACACAGAGAAAAAAATGACGGGTGAGCATTCAACCTTTTTTACAGGCTGCATTCTTTCACCTCCTAAATGATTTTTTGGAGTCAAACAATGTGGAAAAATTAAAATGCTTATATGCATTTCATGCATCTGTCTCATTTTTTGAAAAACAACTGTTAGAACTTGTGCTCTGGAGTGGAGACAATTTTCACCAAGACTTCAGTGTAGGAGGAAAGAGCTAACCTTGTTCAAACTCCACCAAGACATTGGCATGGTGATGTTTGAAAAACAAAATACAGGGCTGTCTAGTTTGGCCCTTAGAATCTCCATGTGACTTTTGCTTCTCACAAGGGTCAGAGTAACAGGGGGGAAAAGTGACATCAATAATGTCTTTAAGCATAACTGATCCTTACAAATGGACTGCAGATCTTTCTGCTGCACTTCCACAGTTCTGTCAAAATTATGCTCATGAAACATACAGTGGAGCAAATAGGGTCAACATATTTGACCTATGCACCACTCCCAGAGGCTTATTTGCCTAGCAATTGAAAGAATACTCCTAGAGTAGACAGGCAGATCCTACAGGCAATACTACCCACCAAAACATACTTCCTGCTCCCATTCCCTCCTTGACTCTCCCTCTCTCTCTCTCTCTCTCTCTCTCTCTCTCTCTCTCTCTCTCTCT